GTGTATATATATCTGTGTGTGTGTGTGTGAGAGAGAGAAAGAGAGAGAGAGAGAGAGAGAGAGAGAGAGAGAGAGAGAGAGAGGAAGAGAGGAAGAGAGAGAGAGAGGAAGAGAGTACTGTCAATTGAGTGCTCTATTCTTAGAGCAATATTCTAGTTCTTACCCATTGACTGTCCTTGAATTTGTGGTCTTCCTGACTCTCCCAGTAGTTGGAATAATAGGCCTGTGCTACTAGGTCTGGATCATTTTAAGAGAGAGAGAGAGAGACAGAGACAGAGACAGAGACAGAGACAGAGAGAAAGACAGAGAGAGAGAGAGAGAGAGAGAGAGAGAGAGAGTGTGTCTGTGTGTGTTAGAGCTGGAGGGAGGAAGGAAAAGAAGAAAAACATGTTGCTGAGGCTGGTCTGTTGACACATTCCTGTTAGCCCAGTACTTAGATTGTAGAAGCAGGAAGATAAGGAGTTCAAGGTTATCCTGTATGCTTGAGTCAAGCCGAGTTATATGCGGTCTTGTCTCAAAAGAACAAAATTATAAAATTTTTGAACACTTATTTTTACTGAAGAAATTCAAATAAAACAAAACTAGAAAGTATAAATAAGAAAAACCCAAGTCTTACACACACACACACACACACACACACACACACATACACACACACACACACACACCTCTTTCTGTTTTCTTGGAGGCAGAGTTCCAGGTACTCCAGGAGATGTTGGACTTGTTATGTAGCCCATGACTTTGAATATCAGTCCTCTTGCCTCTCCAACCCAAGTGCTGGGATTACAGGCATTGACCACAACATCCAGTTTTATGTAGTACTGGAGAGTGAATTCAGGACTTCATGGATGATGGGCAAACACTCTACCAACTGATTTACATTCCTAACTCTCACAGGTACATTTCCTATAAATATATATGTGAATGGTGTGAATATGTATAGAGGTATGTGCAATTTGCCTAATGGAACCACAGTTTACTCAACATTAGCTGCTTTTTTTTTTTTAAATCTGAGCAGCGTATGTATCATATACTGTAGAAGAGTAGATTTAATTGCATCATCATGTCTAACTGAGGATGTTTAGTGTTCTGCTTCTCTGTGGGCAGTGTTTCCCCACCACTTCTTTCTTCTTAGGAGAAAGGAATCTGGTGTGATTTTCACCCTTCATCTGATAGCTTCCTCATACCTTTCATAACTGTGGTTGTCATTCCTTGTCTCTTAGAAATCACATTTCCTGAAAATGAAATGCTTGGCCTTCTTGAAACTGATAACTGTGGGAAGCAGTTTTTCTTTTACTTCGTTTGTTGTGCTTGCTTTGGGTTCCCAGGCTGTTTTGTATTCAGCTTTGGCTTTGTTTTGCAATAGATAGTGAGAAGGCCTAAAAAGTGATGATGACAGTTTTAAGGCCAACATGGGATCTGGACACAGTAGCTGCTGTAGTTCATTTGTTTCTAGAGTCCTTGGGTCATACTGAGAGGCAGCCTGGGAAGAGGGAATGGAGAAATTTAAGGAATATACTTTCATTTGAAGTTAAAAAAAAAGGTGAAAAAATGAAGGCTAAAAAGAGTCCTTGGGTGTGTAACTCGGTGAGTGAGTGCTTGCCAAGTGTATGTGTGGCACTCTAAATTCAATCCCCAGCACCATACAGAAATTACAGGACAAACCTGAGAAGGAGAAGAGCAAAGGCAGCGTGTATAGTGAGAGAAGAACCTTGTGAAATGAGAGAGAGTACCTCCTGGAATGGGGGTGGGGGTCCTCCAGGACTCAAGTCAACATCAGAGCCAGCCATTGCTCTCAGACACTGCAGCCTGAGTGTGGTCATTCTGGGAAGACTTGCTTTGAGAGCATTTGCTGTCAGAACAAATCACGGTGTGATAAACTGTTCCTGTTCTTTTATGGCATCAATAAACTGCTCCTGTACTTTTATGGTATCATATACTCCGGATAGGTGGCCCTTGAGCCTGTTCTACTGGAAATGTGCTGGTTGTGATTGTTACTTTCAAAATGCCCATGGTGCATCTCAGAAAATGCTGATATGGCATCCTGCCATTTACCAGTAGTAAATTCAGTTTACCATTAGCTAAATCGAGTTAGAAGCTAAGACAGTGTGCACTGAAAAAGCTGTTGTATAGGTTCAGACTGGGAAAAAGAGTTGGGCCCGTGTACCCTCCTGTAGTATGATCAGGGATCTGCCTTCAGTCTGCATGCTGGCAGCTGGTGTCCATGTCCTTCCTCTTCTCTTACCTTGTTCCTCTTCTAGTTTTCTTATCCTTCCTCCTCAGTCCTTGTCCTGTTTGTCCTTCCTCCACATCCTCACTGGAACACATGCTCAGTCTTTGTTGGTGAATCCCTGTCCAGAAAGGAGACCTTAAAAGGCAGTTTTGGGTTTAGGCCTGATCCAGTCAATTAAAACAATGGAACATTTCATTTTGCTTTAGGTACATGTTTGCAGGTCTCAGAAGGACTGATAGGGGACAGTGTAACTGAAAGATGCTTTGATACTTGAGACCCATTTAGTTGTACTTTATATTTTACTTTTTAAAAGTGAGAATATGTAGGAAAACACTTGAAAAGCTATAAAACACTATAATTTGAAGATGTTCATAGAAAAAAAATAGTATCCTATTTAAATACTATTCAATAAAGCTGAGCTTGGTAGTTCACACCTATAATCCTATCACTTGAGAGGCTAAGGCAAGAGAAATGCTACAAGTTCAAGGCTGCCTGGATTACATAGTGAGTTCCAGGCTAGCATGGGCTTTAGAGTGAGATCTTGTCTCAGAAAACAACCAAGTAGGGCTGGGTAGATGTCTCAAGGGTAAGAATGCTTGCTGTCCAGCATGAGGTCCTGATTCAAATCCCTCATCTATGTAAAAAGCTGGGCATGTCTGTGTGGTGCCTATAACCCCAGCATTAGGGTTTAGTCAGGGAGGCAGATCCTGGGAGCTCACTGGTCATCCAGCCTAGCCATGATGGTGAGCTTCTGGTTTATGAGAGACCCAGGTAATAAAGTAGAGAGCAGTAGAAGAGGACACCCAAACTCCTCCTTTGGTCTCTACACGAGTGTATACTCACATATTCATGTGCAGAGACTACACACAATGCACCCCACACAAACACACACACACAAAATCAACCAACCAACCAGACAGACTGCAGAGCATATAAAGCCTCTCTCTGTTTTCTGGAGTCACACAGCAAAATGGAAGGGATAAATAAGTATGAACCTATAACTTCAGTCTACTGCTTTTTATGGAAGTTCTTAGGCTTGTTTTTAATTGCTTTGTTTGTGGAACAGCGGCTGTTCCTCAGTGACAGTGCAGTGGTAGATAGACCAATTGTCCAGTAGGCACAAGGTTAACCTCCAGCATGGGGCTGAAGGGTGGGCATGCTGAGTCAAATAGTTTTGCCTTGGCTTTTATTTCTGAAATTTTCCCTAATATATTTCTCTGTCTCAATCAAAAGGGAGAATCACCAAGATCTTCATCACACATCTTCATGGAGACCACTTCTTCGGCCTTCCGGGCCTCCTCTGTACAATCAGTCTACAGAGTGGCTCTGTGGTCACAAGGCAGCCTATTGAAATCTATGGCCCTGTAGGGCTTCGGGACTTTATCTGGAGAACCATGGAGCTCTCCCATACAGAGCTGGTTTTTCCTTATGTGGTCCATGAGATAGTGCCTACAGCTGATCAGTGTCCTGTGGAAGAACTAAAAGAATGTTCACATGTGAATGACGCAGACAGCTCTTCCAAAGGACAGGGCCGAACTATCTTGTTAGACACGGAAGAAAACTCATACTGTCTGGTTGACGATGAGCAGTTTGTTGTAAAAGCATTTCGCCTCTTTCACAGAATCCCATCCTTTGGCTTTTCAGTTGTGGAAAAGAAACGTGCAGGTAAACTAAATGCACAGAAGCTGAAAGACCTCGGTGAGTATGCCTTTCCTTCTTGGTAGCTGAGCTGTTTTAAGGAAGCCACTGGGAGTGTCAGGGAAGGCTGTTTCCTGTGTGGTCACAGTAAGCACTCACTTCCTTGGCCCAAAATTTGCTTATTAAGGAAAATCTTTGGGGTCCAAAGATGCTATTCAGAACAAAACTCAAATATTTAATATATTTGAATCTTTTCTTGTTAGCTTCCTGGATTCACATTCTTTTTTCCTTCCTTTTTGGCTGCACTGGGAATTGAATCTAAGACACATGCTATACAAGCACTCTCTACCACTGAGCTATTCTCCAACTCTTTTGCTATTTTTTCCCTAAGTTGCTCAAGGTGGCTTTGAGTGTGAGGTCCTTCTGAGAAGCTGGAACACAGCCTGTATGACCAGGCCCAGCTCTGACTTGGTTGGAAAGGTGGCTTGAATTGGGCTAGTGAGTCCATGATTTAACTTTTATTTCCTTGTGCTTCCCTTTTCGTTCTATTTTGGCCATGCTAGGGTTCAAGCCCATGTGTTCTGCTACTAAGCTATACTCCTAATCTTCATGTCTTATTTTTGAAGTTGTTGTATTTTTGTTTTTAAAAACTGTTTCTATTTTTTTTTGTTTGATACAGGGTTTCACTCTGTAGCCCAGGCTGGCCTACAACTTACTATGTAGCTCAAATTCAAACTCATGATCCTCCAGCCTCTGTCTCAAGATTGGTTGGAATTGGAAATGTGTGCAGTCCTGAGGTATGTTTTCAATGACATCTTTGTGTGATTTGTGTGTGTGTGTGTGTGTGTGTCCTCTATCCATGCATGTGCATGCACAGGTTGACATCAGGAGTTCTCAATTACTCTCTACCTTTTTGATATAGGGTCTCTCACTGAACCTAGAGCTCATTATTTTGGCTAGATTGACTGCCCAGCAAGACCCTAGGACCACCTCTTTCTGTTCACCCAATGCTAAGGTTATAGATGCACACCACCACACCTGGCTTTTACATGGGTGCTGGGATCTGAACTCAGGTCCTCATGCTTGTTCAACAAGCACTTTACCCACTGAGGCATCTCTTTGACTCTTCAGTGACATCTTCTGTGTCAGGATTTTTGCCATGGGTCTTGACCTTACAACAGCAGCCAATTACCTCAAGAGTTTCCTTTCTATATCCCTTGCCTACTCATTCAATCTTGGTTGAATTAATTTGGCATTCAGAACACTGCACCTTAACTGGTTCTACATACCATGGTTCATCACAGTCAGAAGGAAACACACAAAGATGGACAAAGGTCCTTGAAGAATTTGTAATTTTTTCATGTGAGGCAATGATGTGTAAGTGAGGAGACCTTAAGAAATGCAGGTCAGGGGCTGGAGAGATGGCTCAGAAGTTAAGAGCACTGGCTGCTCTTCCAGAGGTCCTGAGTTCAATTCCCAGCAACCACATGATGGTTCACAACCATCTGTAATGAGATCTGGTGCTCCCTTCTGGTCTGCAGGGACACATGCAGACAGAACACTGTATACATAATAAATAAATAAATCTTGAAAAAAAAAAAAGAAATGCAGGTCAGGTCCATCCTACTTCCAGCCTCACCACTACACCAGGCCTGCATGGATATTCCTGTTTAAAGAATGGTAGTGATTCATCTGATTTTTAGTTTCCTTCCCCAACTAAAACTATATACTAGATAATGAGGAAAGTGATGTAAGTCAAAGGTATTTTTTGTCATGTAAATACTGTGTAAATAGTTGTATTTGGAAACTCTAAACATGATCTCTGTTGGAAATGCTGACCATACATTTGTTCGTAAGTATTATCCACAGTGTTAGTATATATTAAATAACACTGAAGCTTGAAAATCTGGAACTGCTACAATCTACCAAGAAGATTAATCATGTATGATTGCCTGAAATTCCCCTTGACCTTATTTTTGGTTGTTTTGCTTGGTGTGTGTTCATGTATGTTTGCCGTGATGTGCAGGTAGAGGTCAGAGGACAACTTTAGGGAGTTGATTCTCTCCTTCCACCAAGTGGGTCTCAGGAATTAAACTGAGGTTGTTAGGCATGGCTGCAAGGGTCTTCCCTGCTGTACAATCTCCCTAGCTCAAACTTAGGATCCCAGTAGTCCTCTCTAACAAGTTCTTGTTTAGTGAGTCAGTTCATAGACACTTGTTCTGACTAGGAGTATCGACTATATGATTATTTAGGTATACTCTTTGATGTTGTAGTAAATAAAGGATCCCCAAAACTGTTATTCTCATGCAAAGCAGAAAATCAAAGCTGAAATCTTGAGTATAGTAAGGCCTAAGTGATAATGAGAGTTTAAACGTCAGCTCACACGTGTGCTAGGAAAAGGTATCAAGTATAAAGCTGTTGTTAATAACAGCAGTTGATACTGAACTTCTAAAATGTTTAAATATCCCAGTTGTCTACAAGTAGGAAAGCATCTCTTGCAGTTTTTAAAATAATTGGATGCCTCTAATTTTTGAGTTTTATTTGTACGGGTATTTTGTATGCATTATGTCTGTGCATCATATACATGTCTGTCACCCTCAGAGGCCCTGAAACTGGAGTTACAGACATGTCTGAGCTGCCATGTGGGTGCTGGGAATTGACTCCAGGTCCTCTGCAAGAGTAGCAAATGCATTTAACTCTCTCCAGACCCCTGGTGCTTCTGCTATTTGCTGTTGCTATGCTGTTAAAGTTGTCTCTTTACAAATCATTATTCCGTATTCTTGATGTAGTATTATCTGTTTCCTTGTCAGGTGTGCCACCAGGTCCTGCCTATGGGAAGCTGAAAAATGGAATTTCTGTTGTTTTGGATAATGGAGTCACAATTTCTCCCCAAGATGTCTTAAAAAAGCCTATGGTTGGGAGAAAAATCTGCATATTGGGTGACTGTTCTGGGGTTGTGGGTGACAGCGGAGTGAAGCTGTGCTTTGAAGCAGACCTGTTGATCCACGAGGCGACTCTGGATGATTCCCAGATGGACAAAGCAAAAGAGCATGGCCACAGCACGCCACAGATGGCAGCAGCATTTGCGAAGCTGTGCCGTGCCAAGAGGCTGGTTCTGACTCACTTCAGTCAGAGGTACAAACCGACGGCCTTGGCTAGAGAAGGGGAGACAGATGGCATCGCAGAACTGAAAAAGCAAGCTGAGGCAGTGTTAGGCCTCCAAGAAGTAACTCTAGCAGAGGATTTTATGGTGATCGGCATTCCAATCAAGAAATGAAACCAGTGCTCCTGAATGCATAAACATGGACTTGGCTGTGGATGTGTTACCAGACCTGCACTACAGACTTTTGTTGTTGGTTGTGAGTGACTTTTTTTTTCCTTCAAGTTTTGGAATTTTTTTCCCTTAAAATTATTTTGGCCCTAGTAGTCCTAAAGATGGAGCTGGATTGCTGAGCTGACTCAGTAGTGAGAGAGAACAAGATTTTTAATAATAAATCATTTTTAAATGTTAAAAAATAAATACCCAGCATCCTTCTTAAAGTGCAGATGTGACAAAATAATAGATTTTTTTCAGGGTTACTCCTCTTGTGTCTCTTGCCGCAGATAGAAGCCAATACTTCACACAGTGTTGGACTTAGCTCTGCCCAACTTAATTGCCATTATTGGCAAAGTATCTAGGACTGGGTCCTCTCAGCTAAAAAAATAATGGTATTTGGCAGTTTGTATTGAAGTTGTATCCTAATACAGAGGTAAATGTATGGAGGCAGTGTATGTGCAGTATTGATGATAACATGTTGGTGGTTTCACTGGAATAGTCAGTGCAGGTTTGGACTAAGTTTTATCTTAGCATTTTATTAAACATTCTGGTTCCCTTCAACACATCGTCCTGGCAGTCTACTAGGAATTGAATAACATGGAATTCTTTTTCTTGTTGCAGTAACTGAGAGGAAGTAGTAGCTCCACAGTTGTTCAGTCAGGGATGAGTCAGGGATGCCCTGTACTCTGCACAGTTTGAGTTAGTCCTGCATAATCATTACTTTGAAATTCTAGGCCTGTTCAGAGACACAAAACTTTTATTCCCAATGTGAATACACTTTGCCAAAATTAGTGATGTAATGGATTGAATTAATAGATAAGCTGAATCTTCCAATAGATGGTTAGAATGAAATGCCACATCAAGTATTATTTGGAAAAAATGAGTCATTAAGTGAAGCTTGTAACTGTGGGTAGAAATAGTCACTATTCCACCACATGGGGAGAGTGTCTGCTCCAGGTCTAGCGGCCCAGGAGCTGTGCTGAATTGAGTGTGGAGGTGGACACAGAGCTCCTGGCTCTGCTTCCATAGACTAAGTGAGGAGTCAGAATGGCCCCTGCCTCTGCATGCGAAGCTGCCTGAGTGATTCTGAAGACATGACTGCTGGACTAGCCTAGGAGAAAAAAAGAAGTTTTTTTTTCTATGTACTTAAATTGAGGGTATATATACAGATATTTTATAGATTCTTATACATATGTTTGTGTATGTGCATAGTTTATTCATGCCTATTTTTACATGAAGGTTGGCCTCCCTCCACTATTTTCTTAAAATAAAGATATTTTATTGGACAAACAAAAACTAGGAGTTTATTATAAAAAATCCTCTGTAAGAAATTCTAAGGCATTATTTTTGGCACAATAAAAATAATGAAAACCATAAAGGGGCAAGCAGATGAGTGACGTAGAGAAACACTGACTATAGGGCTTCAAAACAAAACACTTGCTAACAGACAAGTCCTTAACTACTTTCTCCATTAGCACTTTCTATAGCATAAATGGTCTCTGAAAGAATGAATTTCATGATTTTATTTTATTTTAGAACTGTCTCTTGGAGCACTGAAGTTGTTTTCCATTAGTAGAAGTAACACTGACATGGGGTTCTTATGTACAAATCTCTGTATCTCCAAGTTGTTCCTTCACTGTAGTTGATCTTTCTGAATGTTGATATCTTGGTCAGGCACGGTGGCGCAGACCTGTTTCCTTTGCATTTGTGAGGCTAAGGCAGGGGAATTTGAGATCCAGGAGAGCCTGGGCTACATAGTAAGACTTTATCTCAAACAAAAACAAAAACCAAGGACAGAAAGAAAGGCACCTGACTTACATATTTCATGTTCATTCACATTCCTAACCACCACACAGCAGTGACCTGTTTTATTACTCTATTGAAGATATGACTTCATCAATTTCTCTCTCTGTGTGTGCTTTTTTTTGGGGGGGTGGTTTTTTGGTTTTTCCAGACAGGGTTTCTTTGTGGCTTTTGAGGCTGTCCTGGAACTAGCTCTTGTAGACCAGGCTGGTCTCGAACTCACAGAGATCCACCTGCCTCTGCCTCCCGAGTGCTGAGATTAAAGGCGTGTGCCACCACTACCCAGCCTCTCTCTCTCCTTTTTTTAACAAGTTTCACTGTGTGGCCCAACCTGGCCTCAAGCTTATAGTCCTCCTGCTTGAGAGTTGGGCTCTAAGCATGTACTTTTAATCTGACCATAATGTTTTTAATATTTATTTCCCAAGAAAGGGTTATAATTTTTAGGCTGAGAGTGTAGCTTGATGATTAGAACACTTGTTTAGAATGTCTGAGGCACTGGGTTTGATCTGTAATATAAAAAGGAAAAATGACTTTTGCCTCCTAGTGCAAATATCTTTATTATGCCTTTAATACATAGAATTCAACTCTTATTTCTTTGAATATTCTGATGCCAGCTTGAAATTTTTCTTTCTCCTGTACTAATGAAATAAAATTCCTTCTTCAATGTGTCCATCAAAAATGGACAGTGATGACACTTTATCTCACAGAGGTGTATGTATGTGGTGAGGTGTACTAGACCTGTCCTTACTGGCAGATTTGAGGGCCAATGAACTAATAAAGGCAGTCAATGGGGATATTGCCCCCACCCTGTCCTTCTCTTTTCTCTTTTTTCCCTTTGAGATGGGTCTCATATAGCCCAGACTAACCTTCAACTTGCTATGTAGCCAAGGATGACCTTGAATGTCTGATGCTTCTGACTCCGCCTCCAGAATGCTGGGGTAACAGTCATATGTCACCATACCAGGTTTATGTGTCGCTGGGGACCAAACCCAGGACTTTGTGCCTGCTAAGCAAATACTACCAACTGAGCTACATCCCAAAGCTCAAATATGTGGAGTTTTTGTTTATTTTTTATAGGGGAATATTAAAAAGGAAGCACTGGTTGTGAGTTTGAATATTCTCTCTTGACACAGAAGTGCCAAGGAGATACTCTGTAAGGAGATACTCTGGGATAGTGGTGTGTAATTTTTCTTCTCTTTGGTGTACAAAATGAAAAACAACCATTTAAGCATATCATGTTTTAAAAAGCAAGGAACGTGTCTGGGAACATAGCTTGGGTAGAAAAGTGCTTAGGTTTTGGGTTTGATCCCCAGTGTCCCCACTTGAACCTCCCCATGAAATACAAGGAACTATAAATGGTTAAAGGTGGATTCAGATTGTAAGAATGTATGAAAATGTGATAATGAAATTCACTGTTTTGTACACTTAATATGTACTAATAACTTTTCTAAGTGGAGAAAGCAATTTTGGCAGAGGGGGGCAGGAAGTTTGGAGAGGAAAGACTACCACTTTTGTTGGTGGCTTTTGAATCACTAGTATGAAGGGTGTTCTGACTATTTGTATGTATATATCCATTTAGTATAGCAGTTGCATCATAGCACACCCATAGAGATAAGCCACTTCTCTGAATAGTAGATCGTCTCCATATTGGCACTCCAGGAAGCTGACAGTTCAGCTCAAGTCCTTGTAATATTCCTGTTTATCATCTGTACTGTAGCCAGAGTGGTGTTTACCCCCCAAAATGTAAATTTTTGCCATCTCTCCCTGACTTGAAATGTTGTAGTGGTCTGTCTTCACTCATCTCTCTAACTTAATCTTACTACCCAGTGTTACTCAAGTTTGCAGCCCCAGCCGTATGGGCCTTCTTTCTGTCCTTCACCAAGGTTTTCTGATGTTCCAGAGCCTTCCAGTGGCCTGCTTCCTTCACCTGAAATGCTATTTGCCATTCCCCAAATCAACCTAGTGAACCTCCGGGCCACAGCTCTGCCCTCGTGGACTTTGCCTGCCCAGCTCCTGCTAGGTGGTGTGTTTTTCTCAGCACCCACAACCCATCTTCCTGGCGCTTGTCACTCGAAGCTTCGCTCTGCCTCTGTCTGTGATGTTTCTCTTTCACACCAGCTCTATACTGTACACCACACAAGGGCAGAGCTGTGTCTGCTTTTGTTCCCCTTTATGACTACTCAGTGCCTAGAACATCAAAGGCATTCAATAAATAGTGTTGACTGGATCAAATGTTCTTGTCCTGTTATTCATACTTAGTTCTTTGTTGTCCAATGGATTTTTCCCTCTGGTTTATGTTAAAAACACAAAATGCACAGACCAAATCAATGACACTGAGAAGGTGAGGAATGCTTGCCTATGATGTTAATGGACAAATCCTTACAAATAACATTTTGAAACTTTGGTTTGGTGTTCTAAGACAAAACCTGAGAGTTAGGGGAAAGACAAGAGAAAGATTTGCTCTACCTAAGAGTTGGATGCCAGCTTAGGCTATGGAAGGGTATTAGAGCAAAGAGAGAAAGAGGGATTGAGGGCTGAGGCTTGGGAAATAGTCTGGAGACTTACACAGGGTAGAGGAATGGTATAAGAGACTCATTCAACTTTTTGTTTGTTTTGTGGGTTTGTTTTGTTTTGTTTTGTTTTGTTCTGTTTTTTGTTTTGGGAGACAGTGTTTCTCTATAGCTTTGGAGACTGTCCAGGAACTCACTTTGTAGACCAGGCTGGCCTCAAACTCACAAGATCCATCTGTCTCTGCCTCCCAAGTGCTGGGATTAAAGGTGTGCCACCAGTGCCCAGCTTCATTTAACTTTTTTTAAGGAAATAAGAAAATAATTCATTCTGACCCAATTAAGAGTAACTGTGATCTGGCAATACGGTACAAGTTAACTTGAATGGTGTGTTTTATTACTAGCCTTGTTGCTCAGAAATGAATTCCTGCCTAACTCTAAACTTTGAGGTCTGCTAGGTCCATGTTTAGAGGATTCCTTGCCAGCTCTGCATGGCACTAATTGAGAACAATTTCTGAATTCTATGACAGTCTTATGTGGGGAAGGTGGACAGCGGCAGGAGATGCGGACAATCCCTAATGGAGAACAGTTTCAGAAGTTGTAGTCAGGTAATCACGGAACTCTCCAAGAAATAACCAGAAGGTTAGAAGGAGGCACAGACCTTTACATAACCCACATGACGAGCCAGCTTCAGTCACATCTAAAGGACAAGATGACTCTAATTGACACCTAGACTCAGATATTTCTGTGTTCTTGATGAAGTCTGAGGGTTGGATAAGGCTGTCCTTATTTTTCTGGTTAATAAGGAAGTTGGGGTGCCTAAGTATACCCAAAGCAAAAAAAAATCCACCCCTAAATAAAGCTAGCTGAGAAGTCCTGCTACTCAGATGTCAGCCTGCTAATTATATACTCAGCAGACATGGCAGGTACAAAGATTAAATTCACCCCCAAGAAAAAAAAAGTGCAAGGGAAAAGCAAGGGATCAGGTTTTTCAGCAATATAAATCTCCTTAGCCGCTAGGCTGTTCAGACAGCACCAGCAGAACTAAGCAGCACTTAGTTCAGTGTCACCCAGTGAAACAAGGTCATCTTGTCCAGGTTTTCTACATTGTTGTGACTTCCAGAGGTGATGGGTTAGTCTGACTGTGTCTCTTTCATACATCTGGACTGGAACTGACCTTCTTGAAGTATCCAGGTCTGGGTCAGCAACCCAAGGACCTTGCCACCACAGGACACATTGACATACAGCTAGCAGAGTCTAGAACACAGTCCCTTTCTCCTGCACAGGCCTAGGTTCGAGGCAGTGTCATCTAGGACAATAAATAGTCTTGGAACTGACTGCCTTTCCTGAATGCAGGCCATACTTTTAAATGAAACACTTCCAGTGTTTAATCTTCCTGAAAATGAGGTGCGCCAGTGTCATGCTAGTCCTGTAGTGTGATGTCAGGATGAAGAGCCTTCAAGTTACCAAAGACAAGAAAAATGGACATATTGGTACCAAGGCTCAAACGTTAAATGATTAGGTAACAAATTCTTTTACAAGTCAAGTTTCCAATTTGTTGTTTAGGAAAAAATGAGGGAGGATGTAGTTTGTCCAACAGTGTTAGGTTTGGGTTTTTTTGTTTTGGTTGGTTAGTTGGTTTTGTTTTTGCTGGGTATTAAACTCCCAGTGATATTTTAAAAACAAACAACTTTCTTGAGCTCGAATTCACATAGCTTACAATTCAATGTGTAACTATCATTACTACCAGTTTTAGAATGTTTTTATTATCCCCCAGAGAAACCCCATAATTTTGGCAATTAGTCATTCCCACTTCTTACCTTTCCTCTCTTCCTAATCCCCTAGCTAAGCAAAATCTCGAGTCTGTTTTCTGGCTTTATAGATTTTCCAATTCTGAATATTTTGTATGAATAAACTTGTATAACATGAGCTCCTTAGTAAAGGGCTTCTTCCACTCAGCATATTTTAAATATATATCCCATCAGTAATTTGTCCTTTTATGGCATAGATTGTTCTAAAATATTTTCTATAAAATACCTATATTAAGAGTGTGAGGGGCTGGAGAGATGGCTCAGTGGTTATGAGCACTCACTACTCTTCCAAAGGTCCTGAGTTCAATTCCCAGCACCCACATGACAACTCACAACTGCCTGATGCCCTCTTTTGGTGTGCGGATACACATACTGACAAAGTACCAATATATATAAAATACATAAATAAATCTTTTTTAAAAAAGAATGTGAGAGGAGATATTGGTACAGATGATATTAACATTAATATGATAAAAAATAACCCCATAAATAGTGTTAATATTAGGTGATGTTACTAAAGCAAAGTTTTAAAAAAGCAAAAGTTGGGAGCCAAGCATGGTGGTGCATCTCTGCATTCCTGGCATTTAAGATGTTGAAGCAGGCCAGCTTGGGCTGCCCAGTCAAACTCCGACTCAAAACAAAAACAACAATAACAAAAAACCAAAAAGATGAACCAAAACAAACTCTCCTCCCCTTCCCTCTCTCTCCCTTCTCTCCCCTCCCTTCCTGTCTCCTCCCCTCCCCAACAGTTAGGTAGCTTGGTTTTATTTGCCTGTAGTCCCAGCTACTTGGGGAAGGTCTAGAATGTAGGAGTTTGAGGCTAGCTATGCTGACATAGTGAGACCCTGTCTCAAAAGTTAAAAAAGAAAAGAAAGGAAGGAAGAGAATAACCCAAAGCACAGTTTGCCAGAACTTACACATCACTTTTTCTTTAAAAAGTTGAAAATACATGTATGAACTTTTCAAAGAATTCTTGAGAATATTTTTAAAAAGTCTAATTTATGGCTAAAAATCTTGCAGTTTTTGCTGGTCTCCATTAGTGAATTATTCTAAAGAAAAACACCTTTCGTCCACAGACACTTCTAGAAGGAAAAAAGAGAGAGAGAACTTGTCCCAGCTCATTTTATGAGGTCAGTGTAATCTAGATGGAAGGACATTAAAAGAAATGACAATTACATGTTAATTTCCCCATAAAACCCTGAAGAAAACAATTAGCTAATTGAATCCAGTGACATATATTAAAAAGCCATCTTTATAAGGGAAGTTCATTCCGGGAATGCGAAGTTTGTTAGCATTGGAAAATCACCGGTATTCACGTCAATAAAAGTGGGAGAGTGGTAAGATGATCTCTCAGACAGAGAAATTTTTGTATAAAACTTAACATTCATTTACAATAGTAATAATTCTGATCAATTTAAGACTAGGGAATGCCTTTATTCTAATCAGTAATATCTGAAAAATACAGTAAATGTTGTATCTAGTAATAAAAGTTTTGTCTCTAAGCATTTAAGGTTATCTACTTGGTACCATATCCATAGTATAGATTTTGGGCTTTTGTTTATTTTTGTCCCAGCTTTGTTATGACAAACATGGTGACAATCCCCTCCTCAATTCTGGGCAGGGAGCTCTCCTACCTTTCCTTGAAAGTTCCACTTCGAGAGTCACACACAACCCTACTTCCTCGTG